GAGCGCCCCTGCCGAGAAGGACTTGGGCGTACTGGTGGATGAAAAGGTGGACATGAGCCAGCAATATGCGCTCGCAGCCCAGAAGGCCAATTGTATCCTGGGCTGCATCAACAGAAGTGTGGCCAGCAGGTCGAGGGAGGGGATTCTGCCCCTCTGCTCTGCTCTGCTGAGACCCCACCTGGAGTACTGCGTCCAGCTCTGGAGCCCTCAGCATAAGACATGGACCTGTTGGAGCGGGTCCAGAAGAGGGTCACGAAAATGATCAGGGGGATGGAACACCTCTCCTCTGAAGAAAGGCTGAGAGAGTTGGGGTTGTTCAGCCTAGAGAAGAGAAGGCTTCGGGGAGACCTTATTGCAGCCTATCAGTACTTAAAGAGAGCTTATAAAAAAGATGGCAGCAAACTTTTTAGCAGGGCCTGTTGCAACAGGACAAGGGGGGGTGCCCTCAAACTAAAGGGGGATAGATTTAAACTAGATATAAGGAAGAAATTTGTTACGCTGAGGGTGGTGAAACACTGGAACAGGTTTCCTAGGGAGGTGGTGGATGCCCCATCCCTGGAAACATTCAAGGTCAGGTTGGATGGGGCTTTGAGCAACCTGATCTAGTTGAAGATGTCCCTGCCCACAGCAGGGGGTGTTGGACTGGATGACCTTTAGAGGTCCCTTCCAACCCAAACTATTCTACGATTCTATGATTAACTTAATTCTTTGAATGAGGTGCAAGCAGGTAATAGCATGTTAGTACTCATTTAGGCTTTGATTCACGAAGTACTTGCTCACATTTATTTAGCTGATGTTTGGTTGGATGTTAGAGTTCCTACCTTACGGCTGTAGGTGCTCTAACATCTGATCAACAATGGAATGGAACCTCTAACAGTAAAGACACGCATCTTGTATTCATGAATAAACTGTGGGCGGGGAAAACTTTCTTGACTTCCCACTAACCCTTTTTATAGCTCCATATAAATGTGGAACAGAAGGGGTGACAGAATGGCTCCCTGCAGCACCCCACACTTCACAACTTATCAGGAACAGAAGAAGCGATCACAACTAGCTATCAGGGTCTCTTGGAGAAAATAGAGCAGGTGTCAATGAGATTCCCACAAGTCTTTTCAGTAGCCTCTCTCAATGCAAAGTATTGCTGAGCTGAGGTCATCTTTTTAGTGTTATCAAGAAATACAGCGAGTTATCAGGAATTAACACAGCAATATATATTACGTATTTAGTGAAACTAAATGGCAATGGTAACTGCATCTGTATTCAATCTGACAGACCCATATTTGTGCATTAGCGCAGTCATTCATTTCCTGCTGCGCTACCTCTGCCAGATGAAGCCAACTGTAGAAGAATGCCATGAAGGTTAATCCTGGATCTCCCTCTGCAAAAGTTAGGCATGCTACTGTGGCTAAACTTACTGTTCTTTCACCTCAGCATCTAAGATCAGGTGTGAGCTTAGTAGAAAACCTGCTTGATCTAGGTGACTGAACAGCAGTCTCTGATTTTGCAAACTCATGCATTCCAGTAGCACTTTGTGCCTGCACAGTAATTACAGGCATTCCTTCTGTCACAGCGTTAGCTGTCTAAGAGCTGAGTATATCTAAGCTGATCACTGGGCGTCCTTTTTGGCAGTGAAGAGTGTCTGGTGCTTCCAGTGGAACATTCATCTCGCCTCTGTCAGGGGTCTATATTAGAGCTATTTACAAACCCATTCACAAAGAACAATTTTCAGGAGGCAATGAAGTAGGAACAGAAGTACAAAGCAAAAAAAGCCCTTTGCTCCCCCCTTCCCCACACCCCCTCTCCTCTCACTTTCTTGAAGTAAGAATCTTAAAGACTGCTTGAAACAATGCTGAGTAAAATGCTTTCAGGCATATGGCTGTTAAGTTCATTGCATTCATTTGGATCTATTGCCAGTGTCATTAAGTATTTGAATGCTACTTCAGCTCCTTAGAAGCAGAGAATTCCAAATTATTTTAGTAATAAATGCAAGGCCTACTGTTTGCATGAGTGCGATTTATATTGTCTTATTTACATGCATACTTTTCACGTATGCGAGACTAATTTGTTCCTCAGCAAAATGAGATTAATGTGGAAATGTTAATGATTTGTATACAATCCCTCGCTGAGTGTCAGCAATGCAGCCTAAGCTGTTCAGATAGAAAAACTCTTAGGAGGAAAAAGCTGTAGTGCTAGAATTGAGTGTTGTCTGTTAAAGCCTGAGTAAGAGTTAAGCACGCTTTATGTAAATATATCGAAGCCACCTGCTAGAAATCATTTTGGCTCTGCAATGTTCCAAGAGTTCTGTACTTGTTGGGTCTGAAAATAAATATCATCTTGCATTTCATAGCTTGTGTGTGGTACCATCAGTGATTCAGTTGCAAGCTAAAAGAAGGCTTGAAAATGGTGTCTCCTCTAGCAGCCTGAAAACACTGTAGAAATTTGAGGCTTTAAGAATATTCTGTAGCTGTTATAGAAATCCAAAATTTCAGTCAAAGACAATTTATCAAAAAAAAGAATAAAATAGAATTAGCCTTAATTTTTAAAAGATCTTTTAGAAATTCTCAGAGGTAGTTTGCTGATAGCCGCAACATAAAAAGAATGTAACAAAACTTTATTCACTGCCACATACCTATTTCCATAGTTCTCAAGAAGTTTGTCATGCATCTTTTTTGTCACAAAACTGACTGAATAGTAGCAGCAGAGTTTAGACAGTTTCTGAAAAACAGTAAGTTTTTCAAGCAGTGGAGAATCTGGCCTCATTAAGAATAGAAGAGAATACAGCAATATACATGTTACCTCAGATGTACAGTTAATTCAGGGTTCCTATTGAGTTGAGCTGGAATTCTGTTTCAATATTTTGTTTACTTGTATTAATTATTATCTTGAATCTCCCATTATAAAAAGGGTCCCTCATGCATACCTTCCAACTTACTCCAACATAGTCAGGCAGTTTATATTTTGAATTTATTTTTTGAAGCTGTATTACATTAAAAATTCTGATTTTTCCCTTTGTTTTATCCTGAAGTTGGTGTGGGAACAGTGCAGAGGGAGAATGACTTTTTTTAGTCCTCAGTATTTTGGCCTCCAGTGTGTCTGCCCACTCAGTAAAGTAAATGATAGTGAGCAGCATATATGTAACGATACAGCTGAGATTGGCCAGTATGTAGAATGCCATTGGAAATCTCATCTGCATTTGTCTTTTTATCTCTAAGAGAGCCTGAATAGAAAAGGTATTAAAGCTCCTGATCCTAAGATAAAGCTGTGACATAAACTGGCAGTAGATGGAAAACATTATCTAGTTTGTCCTGTGACATACCATCAGTAGGTTAAAGTTGCCTTTTAATGTAGGATGTCATGCTTTTTCTACAGTTGTAGTTTGGTTTTGTAGGGTTTTACTATTTGTTTGTTTGTAAGTACTGTATAGAGTTGGGATATGTAAATAAAGAGATTCAACCTTTGCGTGCATTTTACATTATTTTGGTGCAAATTATTACCTTTAAAAAGCACATTGATGTATAGTGACTTGATTCCCTACCTATTGACTCCATTGGGAGTTTTGAAATGGATTCCTGTGGATGCCAAGACACATGCCCTGATTCTGTGCATAGCAATACAGCGAGCAATATTAAGTGTGTCAGCGTTGTCTGTAGAGACACATTAAATCACTGGATGAAAACAGCCACATGTCCTGCTTATAAACCATTAAAAAAGACCTGGTAACTTTGGCTGCTTAAAAAATATTCAAAGAGACCTACTCTTTATATCTTTCAGTTTGCACAAAGGAGTGAATAAAGCTTATAAGCAGCCTTTAAAAATATTTCCCCATTCCTTTATGGGAGTAATTTTTAGTTCATAGTTTCAAGACCAAAAGTCAATCACTAGTTTTTTATCCCAGAGCAAATGTTTACAACAGAGATACTAAACATTTGAAAATAGAGTAGCTTATAATGGAAGCGACGGCTCATCTTTAACTTTGGAAGGGCACGCAGTACCAATTTAATTAAAGCTGTGTTAAAATAGGACTGTCATTTGTATCACAGTGATTCTCCACCCCTCTGAGAAGTCCTGCTGCCATTTTGTACCACACATTCTTGTCTTGTGCAAATTAATAGATCGTTTTATTTTCCGCAGGAAATCTGAAGACTTTTATAGCAAATCCTCCAGTGTCAAAATGAACACAGGTATGCTGCTTCTGTGAGATTTTTCTTTACTCTTATGTGTTGTTTAGTAAGCAGACAAGGTCCCAAATTTATTTAAATTTTCATTAACAAATTGTACTTTAGTTGGCACTGAACTCAAATTAAGCAAGATATTTTAATAGTATGTCTGCTTGTGTGCCTTTGTATTCCATATATAAAATTTACATACATGTTTTTCTATGTATGGATATATATGGATATGTGAAATATACATGCATGTTTAGCTTTCTGTGCTTAAGTATCAGTTTTGTAAGTGTATGTTTTATGTAAAAATACGTAGTATGAGAAGATAACAGCTATGGAAAAGTGGTGTTAAAGCATCACATTTTCCTAAGAAAATGCACATGCTTTAAAAATGCTTTGTTTTCATTCTCTACCGTCATTAAATTAAGGGGCATATAAATACCACCCTGTATTATTAGCTACACTTGCACAATCAGATGAGGATAACTATTTTGTACTTATAGGGATTTGTATTTTCTCTCAAGTTGCTGTGATAGATGTATTGACCAAATGAAGTACTCTGTAGGAAGTTATCTTCATGATCTGTGACAACGTACTAATATTTGCTCCTGAATCATTGAAGTCAATAGACTGTGCTGCTGGGTTTTACTGGAAATGGGAATAGGCCTCCCGAAAGCCGACTGATGAAATCCTGGCCTCACTCATGTCAGGTGTAAATTTTCAGTTGCAGTCAACTCTTTATACTCCAGGGGTGAAGTGTCTGGTTTGCAGACTAACTGTGGCACAAGGATAGACACATCCATCCTTTCCAAACCAGTTGGTTTTATCATTGACCATAGTGCTGCACCACGACAACTGATATGACAACTTGAAATAAGCAGAATGTGTTATGTGGGACCTGAGGACCTGAACTCCCTTTGAAGCCAGTTTGGGTGTTTCAGCAGCACGCTCTAAATTGAAGGGATTAGCTTTTCCGTGGTATAGGCTGCCATTATCCAGGCCACTGTATTGATCAGGCTTCCTGCCTTCTCGTTGTCTCAGACAATGGCTGGAACTCAGTAGAACCAGGTTCTTAGACAGATTTTTTTAATACAAAGTTAAAATATATTGGCTCACTTGAAACCACTACATTTGTGAATATAATAAGCAGGAGAAATGAAATTTATCAGTTGAGTTCATGTTCTTTTTCCCAAAGTTTTGGTGGTTCTTAATTATTTTACAGACGCTAACCAGGGTGGTGTGTTTTTCATTTATGGAAATACTATTTGAAATTTGTCCTATTCTCTTGCATTTTTAGTGAAGACATCTTTCCTAAACATGTCAGTCTGTATAATTAAGGTAGTACTGGAATACTGCTTGCTTCATAGAACTGTAATTTCAGAAGTAACTCAGCTAATCATCATACATTTGACTGTGATTACATTGTGTGTTGCAATCACATGAGTTAAAATCATATTATAGATGTCATTTTATAGCTTCTACTTTGAAAAATGTGGATAGTGTCAGAGCGGTAAATTGCCAGTTTGTGCTACTGCAGCTCTGAAGTATGACTTTGTTCTATGTTGTACTAAGATTTTTCACATAAGCTAGAAATTCTCAAGAGAAATAGACGTAAGATTTAAGTAATCTATGTGGCTGAATGACTTCTATTGGGGATTGGGAGCCTTCTGATCACACAGGAGCCTTGAAAACCGACTTAAAAAACCTGAACACACTGAAATCCTTTCCAGTTATCTAAGGATATCATGATTGTAAGCTGAACTTTAATCTACTCTGCACTCAGACAGTGAAAACATTTTTCATCTTGTGCATGTTTGATATTAATGTGCATGTTACCAGCTGCACTAAAAGGAGGTATTGACAAAAAATGTGGTATTTCCTATCAGGCCTATTAATGGAGATTGTTTCCTGACTGTAAAAAAAGATAAAATCCAATGAGTAGGGTGGAAAAGTGAACATCTTGCACCTATCTGTTGATAAAGCATCACTTTACTAAGGAAGAGAGTGACTGAGGTCAAAGCTGTTCTGCATGGTGTTCTGGTCTAGTAGTTTCTTTTTTTTTTTTTTTACACTGTCTCCAAACATAAAATGAGTGCTGCAGTTCTTTCGTTTCTTCATATATATATATTTCACTGCTTTATAACAGCAATTTGTGCATGATGCGATTGGAGGTTATCAGATACTATTGGTTTGCCACTAGTTTGTTTTAAAAATATGCATTTCATTAATTACTCCTACAGATAAATGAGCGCTCTAGTTCGATGCCAGTAACTGCTGAAGTGGCAAAGCAGCATATACACAGCTTTAAAAAGAAAAAGTAAATCTGCTGCTTAGAGTGGGCTCCTCTAATCCAGTGTTCCCTGTGGCTGCAGACTTGGCAGTCTGTCCCAGCGAACCCTGCAGAAGATATTTTTGTCTACAGAGAAAATGTTTTTAAGAGCTTTGGTTTTCAATACTCTACCATATATGGGAGGGATTTTTTAGCATTTGATGTTAATTCTGTACCACATGTTAGGAAGGAATATTCAACGGCATAAGGCAATGAAACATTCACAAAAGCAAAGAAATAGACGTAAGGTATAGGGGAGGTTTTCAGAAGGACCAAAGGTACTTTGGCTCATAGTTCCTTTTGGTGTTCAAATGCTGTCATAATTTAAAAATAATAGTCTAATAGAATGTGTGCCTTTTTAAACCCAGACTAAGCAATCATCAACAGAATAATATTTTAAACTTTATATAGGGGTTTTTATCAACAAGTCTTCAAGTACTTTACAGATTTGATGAGCAACATTAACCTGGTAAGAGATTTTGAGAAACTAAATCACAGAAAACCTGAGCTACCCATGAAGCTCACATCAGATTAAAACGCAGGATAAATGTACTTATTGTTCATACTATATATGTGCATGCATAGATGATGTTGGGGGAGAGGTAACTGCATTGAGGAATAATGAATGGATACAAGTTAATATGCTAAAACAGATTCTTAGTGTCCATCCGTAAAAATTTTGGCTGAGTTTCACACAGATAATTCTTGGTAAATGCATCTAATTTAAAAATTATTAAACAAGTTAGCTCTTTGCAGTAGATGAAGCACATGAAGAACAGCCAAGAGTGAAAAAGTATGCAGTTCTGGAAGACTGCAAATATTTTGTGTCTGTTAAAATTATTAATGGAAGTCATCACATGCACTAATCTCTTACATTTTGTCTGGGAGACAAGAATAGAAATTCTTGGGTCCCTGCAGAGTTCCTGAATAGATTGTGAAGCCACTTTTAGATCATTAAAGCAAATTAGGTGGGCTCGAGTGTTTCAGGCATTCTGAAAAAAATTTACTTTTTTAATCATTATTTGTTGTAATTTAGCAGCATCAAAGAACCAAATAATAGTAGATTTGCCTGTGTAGTCAATGTTATGTTATGTTATGTTACGTTATGTTATGTTATGTTAGTTAGGTTATGTGATAAAAGCTCATCTGTCAAAGGCCCATCTCCACAGGAGAAACAGTAGCAGGAGGGGAAGCCCAAATAATAGCCTGCCCTGCCAGGCTGCTCCCAGGCCCATCACAGGAGCCATCAAAGGCCCATCTCCACAAGCCTAGAGGAGCACAAGGGCAGACAGGAACCCAAATTAAGGACTCCCAAGGAACGAAGGGAGGCTCAAGGGCCTCCCTTGTCCAGGCCCCTCCCAGGACTGTCTCAGGAGAGCCTCAGCCCTGGGGTCCAGGCATGGAATGAGTGGCAGACTCAATGTCTGAGCCCAGTTGCTGGAAGGATCCACCTTGTACGTGCGTGCATATATATTCTCACTAGCAGAACTTCGTCCTGCTCAGCCAGAGCAGGGAGGGGGATGAGGCCATTGTGCCATCTGTGTTAGTGTGAGTGGTCTGAGCATCTGTGATCTGTGTGGCCAACCATGTATGTATGTGGTGTATACGTGTCCTGTTGTGCATGTGTCTGCTGGGAGCACATCTCCAGACTCACTGCTGGTTGGATCTGGGGACATGGAGAGGCAGCAGCTTTGTCTGTCTTGGACTGTTGGATCCAGCACTATATATTTGCCTCAGAAAGTCAGAATGCAAATAGTAAGAATCCCTGGTCTAAAGACTTCTAAACTTGAATTCACTGTGCAGACACAGGGGAAGATGGTACCATTCACAAGTACAGTGGATAGAATAATGATCAGCAAACATGATGTTTGGGTGCCATTTTTCTTGTCTTTCAGCTGTAAGAGCTTATCAAAAATTTCCTGCCCCCTGGATGCTCTCTCTCACCTCTTCACAAGAGGTCACCATCCTTTCATCTTTGCCGACTTGGTTTATGCCACTGGTTTTACTGACTTTCTGAAACAGTCTTTTAAAAAAAAAAAAAACCACCCCACGTTCCTAAGTGAAAGTGGTGGTGTTTTGAATTGGCTCCATTCTGCTTTGGAGCAGGACCTGACCAATAGACTATTTGTCAAATAGAGATACAGCTTACTTAGGGTGATGCTGTCTGTAGTGGCAGCAGTTGTTGGGATTGTGGATTTAGGGGGAGAGGGTTAAAGTTCTTATTTGTGGAGAGAAACAGAATTAAGGGAGGGAGAGAGAAAGAAGTGAGGAAAGGTGAGGAATAGACAAAGGCTGAAAAGAAAAATTGTAGGAGGGGAGTTGGCAAAGGGAGAGGAGCTGAATGGTGATCTAACAAGAGGAAGAGAGCATCCAGAGCCCCACCGTGGAGACAGTTAGGATACATACGCAAATACACACATCCTCCTAGCTGGAAGGCAAGGCACCACCTTGCCTGTCTTCTCCAGTCAGTGGGTGGCTCTTTCTTTTTCTCTCTTTAAAGGTAAGTCTGCAGCATTGATCCTAGCATTCAGTTCATCCCTACATGGCCCTTGCTCTGCAAGATACTGTCAGAAACATGTCTTACCAGATAATCCTTACCTCCCCTTTCTCCTTCATTCATTTCTGCAGTACCTGCTAAGGATGCTTATTTGTCTTTTCCTGATTTGAAGGGAGTATGCAGGGCTTGCAAAAGAATGTCTAGGCACAAACCGCGCTAAGTCATGATTTGAGCTGGACTTGCATTTTAGGCAGCTGTTTTGATTGTGAATTATTGCCCAACTTCATATTTTATTATTGCCTGCAGACCTTAGATGATCAGGTCTCCTTTGCTTCAACGTTAAAACAATACCTAGGAGGACAGGACTCTCACTCCTGAAGAATTTGTCATGTCAAAAGCATAGAGAATTGTGCTTATGTGTATACATATTTGCACACATTTCATTTTTTTTATATATGCATACATTTTGTATAGTTTCACACATCCTCATTTGTTCCTTGAGTAACAGCTGTGCAATATTAATTGCTTATAGTTTGCAAGTGAAATGAGCAGATGATCATTAATTCAGCCTCCCTTACTGTTTTTGAATTCTCTGCTCGCTAGACTTTGAGCTTTTTGGTGTTATTTGGACTTCAAGAATCTGGGTGAATATAGTTAGTATTTGCTGGAAATTCAGTGGAGCTATGAAAAAGGAATACAGGCTGGAATAAGTCTCGAAGTTCAACTGTGTAAGGCCGTGCAGATAAGGGAAGCAGTTTGAAAACTGCCTCTTTTGAGGCAGCGTGCAGATTCTTCTGATCCTCATTCAGATATGATGCCCTTGACTTAATGGGAACCTGGCCTGAACAAAGATGGGAAAATGGAGTCCATAATGCATAAATATGTGCTTGCCCACACACGTTTGTATTTTATTAGAAATTTTGCACAACTCAATATGGTATATTTGTGTGGTTATGTCTTAATTGAGTGCTCATTGACTCTCATCAGTTTGTACAGATACTGAGAATGTTATTGCAGTTACAGACTTGCGTATGGGCTTCTATATATAGGGGTAAATGTTGTATGCATATATGTTTATAGTCAGTTACAACATCTGTTTTAGTTATCTTGTATGAAGCTATGTCCAACACTTTGCTAGATAATGGGTCCACTAAGTATAAAACTGACTCAGTTCAGTTACATTAAAAATTAATTTGAAGCAGAATTTATTGAAGTTACAATGATGAAATATTTGTAGTCAGTTTTCTCATTGTCTTCCTTTCCTCCCACTTCAATTTCTCTATCCTGAAATTCAGGAAGGTAGCTCTTGAAAAAGTACAAATAAAGCATCACTTTGAATAAAAGATGTGACCGTGTAACAAAATTGTTTGCCTGTTAGCTTGTATTACTCAAATAAAGTATGCTGCCAATACTCAGATAAGAACAGAACCTCAATATCAACACATCATCAAATCTCCTTGGAATTACTTCTGGTGTTTGTCGGGGGGGGGCGAGGGAATACAAGAATGGAAAATGTGATTTTAATTACCATTGCCATTCTATATTTATGCAAGCAAACTAAAACAAATGTGCAGATTTGATAGCCATTGTCTTTGTTTCACATGTACAACACCAATAATTAATTGCGGGTAACGTATTGCTTTTGACTATTGCTGACTGAAATCATTTGGCCTTTTGCCTTGAGACTTGGAATTGGCAATGAGTTTCTGGAACCGCTTACACCTGCGGCCGTGGCTGTGATGTTTGCCAGCGTTAACAACTACTTAATGCGTATCCTGCAAGACCTGTGGCCAGAGGGCTCTGCTATTTTGGGGGAATATTGGAATGAGCAAAGAAATACCAGGAGCTCACTTCTTTTGCAGACGTGTGTTAAAGATGTCTCTGTGGCTCAAATTGCTGCTATCATAGGAAATACTTTCTACTAATAGGTGGCAGGGCGTCCTTGAGCATAATTTTATAAAACTCCCTGTCATAGGACACAGACGTAAAAACCGTTAGGGCCTCTATGGTAGTTGTGGTTCTTCTTGGCTTCAGTGGGGCCCTGTATGAAATTTCAGTAATATCAAAATAATTACTATATTGAAGAGCAGAAAAATATTCTAGTTAAATATAATCAGGAGGAATATTTATTAATTTGCTTTTACAATTATGATAGACTTGCTAAAAAGCTAAGTTGTGGGAAAGCTACCTTCTAATAATAACAAAATATTTATAAAACAGAATGACAGCTCCAAGTGAGAGAGGAGCAGAGAGTAAGGAAACAAAGGAGTCATGCAAGATCCAGAAGAAAGGTTTTTTCCATTCCTGGTTGTTCAGAGGGATTTCAGATTTCTAGTCATTCCCTTGGGACGTTATTGGGTTCCAGACATGCATTTTTTTATCTTCCATTAGATAAAGAAGAAAAGGGGGAGGCAGAACAAGGACGTTCCACCAAAACAACAAAAAAATTATGTCATCCTTAGTAATATTGTTTCTTGAGCTTAAAGGATCCAAAAGACTGAACAAAAGCACTTTGTGAGCTGATCAAACATAAGCTTAGTTTATGAATGGTGCCTTTCTAATGCATACAATGAAATGATTTTACAGTGCAGATTATTGATTAATATTACTCTGGAATGCTTAATCCTTCATCTTGATTACTTGTTTGTTTTTACTAATTAGCTATAATTAAGCAGTCTTTCAGGTAACAGGATGTATATGTTCCCTAGTGGATTAAGTATTAAATATTGCTTTCTTTACTTATTTTCTGTGAGGTTTATTGTTGTTTAAAGCTTGTGAAATTTTATGTATTCTGCTGATCTGCAAAACTTGCAAATTTACACATTCCTGCAGCAGTTCCCTAACTGCATGCTTATTTTCATGTATGTTTGGCGTATCTCACACTGTGATATGTTGCATGTGCTTGCTCCCTTTGTCTGGGGCTGCTGTCTGTATTGTTTTGTGCTTCCAGATAGCGGTGGGTGTGCTCGCAAACGTGCTGCAATGTCTGTCACATTAACAGCTGTGAAGAGAGTTCAGAGTTCTCCAAACCTACTGGCCTCAGGTATAACCGCTAACCAGTGAGATACTACTCCTGAATGGCTTTTCTGTAGTGTT